AGAAGAAGAAGAAGAACCATGAACCGGTAGGCATAAATCAAACTAACTTTAACAGTGGCTATGGGCAACGATTATACAGTTATATTGTTGTTGAAATTAAAATAATATTTCAGTGTCAACTTTTTTTTGCGGAAAACATGTCCACTAAAACAAAATGCAAAAGTCTCGTATCATTTTTCACAATTGCAATATTAGATCGAAAATTAATACAATTATTGGATACCAACCTTCGTTTGTAGCCGAATGAATTATCCATCCGCTTCTTTTCAACTCCAAATGTTTTTAGACGACTCATATAAAGCAAAACGGTCGGGCTAATGAACTGGAAATCGTAACAAAAACGATCTAAGATGGTAAATTTGCACATCCAGATAAGACCGGAGGCGTGCGAGATAAAATGTAAGTACATAGGTGTTTAATATACAAAAAAATTTGCGTTGCTCCCAATGGACGCAAAAATGTGTTTCATGGATGAAAATCGTATCTTAATCAATTTTATTAAAAGAAAGTAAAAACCTATTTCAACATGCATATAATAAATAGAAAATAGTTTATGCTGTAAGTGAAAGTACTCTAAAATTTTCATGAAACGAATAACGTTTCGTCCTGGCGGGAATCAGCTGATCGGGATTGCGCAGTGCGCAAATATGAGGGGTGAGGGTCGGGGCGAGGGGTAGTTGGGGTGTTCGGGGTCTGCAGCGGCGCCCGGCCAGTCGCGCGCCTCCGCGGCCGCCACCCGCCAGCGCGACCGTGTCGATACCGGTGACACGCGCCGCCCTCGCACGCCTCTCGCTCATAACCCAATATCTTGAAAGAAAACTTTAAGAATAACCGCTTTCAGTAACAACACAGGCCTACTCCATGCTTTAGCTGTGATATTCATCCAAGCCAGTGCGCGGGACATGCGGTTGCAGAGGTTGGGGTCACGCGTGGCATCTCCCGCTCTTCTTAACCGCAAAATTAGCGGTGCAGTAATATGAGAGACGTTTTATCTGATAAGTGCACAAAAATGTTCGACTCGTCAATTCAAGAAGTGAACGGAAAGGGACCGAAGAAGAGGAAAAAGTCTCTGGATAATGTCTGTGATAAGGAACAGCGGTCTGAATTAGAGAGTGACAATGAGGTAGCTTCAGAGAATGAAATGGGTGAGGCGGTTAGCACTGATGCCGTAGGGCTGCTGCACTGGCGGGATATGCCGAAGCACCTCCAGTTCAACCCTTACGTGCTGACAGGCTACCGGCCGCTGCAGGATTGGGCCGGCTGCATCCGAAGTCTCTTCTACTTCCACAATGAAACTATCAATATCCTAACTCATGGTAAGTTAAATAATTATAGAATATATAATTAAACATTATTATATAATGTTCCAAGCATATAGTACCTTTGATCTGTCAGTGGTGGGACTGTCATACCAGAGTCAAAGAGTTCTTTAAGAAAAAAATTTAAAGGCTCGACCCAACGGAATTAAGGCTTGCGGTCACTTTGTATTTAGTACTGGTTTTCCTTGCCTCTACAAAAAATAAATTATTCTAATCATATACAAAGAACTGTTATATTTTTAGGTCAAAATTTATTTATGAAAGTCTTATAATCGTCGTAAAATGGATCTTCCTGCCTCGCACAGCAGCGTTGTGGAATGGTCTGTCCTCGGCGGTATTTCCAAACCGCTACTACTTAGGGTCCTTCAAGAAGCGAGTGTATCACCATCTCAAAGGCCGGCAACGCATCTGCGATTCCTCTGGTATTGCTGATGTCCATGGGCGTCGTTGAACACCTCGGTGTTCCCGCTGCTCGTTTGCAACTTTTGTTATAAAAAAAGAAGTTGTTGTTCGGACTTACACTTTTGCAAACCGTATTTCGAATGAATACAATTTTTACTATAATGTAGCAAAAAAAATTATGGATTTATATCCTTTAATTTTTTTATGTAGTCTTAGGTACTAATGCGATAATTTTATATTCAATATATCGCAAATGTGATCCACTGACTGAAACAACTTATTTTTAAGCAGTTGCTGAAGATTTAATTAAAAACCACGTTTCCGTCGATATGCAATTTTTCCTTCATATAAATATGCTTTTGCTTTTGCATTTTTTTTTTGGAACAAAGTACCGTAATTTATTCGCGCTTGTTTTCACACTTAGAAGGGTGACCTATTTCGTTGAGCCATTTTAAATAGGGCTAAACGAAAACGTTTTGTGATCTGCGTAATTGGTAACAGAAAAAGGGGATGTATAATATTAAGTTATTATTTTAGGTTTTTGTATTTGGTATAATATTATTTGTTCATAAAACTAACATTAATATAATTAAAAAACACAAAGCTTTAAAAGAATACACCTGGCCAGCAATAATTTATGATTAACTAGCTGGCGACCGCGAATCCGTCCGCGCGTTATTTATTAAAAAAATAAATTATTTAGTAGACTATGTATTCTTCCAGACTATGGTCTATATGTATGTATGCCAAATTTCTTCGAATTATATCCAGCCGTTCTGGAGATACCTTCAAACAAACATCCATCCATCTAAACATTCGCATTTATATAAATATTAGTAAGTAGTAAGATTTAGGATTAATAGAGGTATGATGCCGTCTCGGTATTATTTAATTCACATTTAAAATTTTGATTGCACAAATAAATTTTTAGCCAATGGTTTAACACCAAAAACCAACAGTAACTTTTGTTACATACATAAATGTGCATCATGTATTGTGTAGGTTACATGTTAGGTAGTTTGTTCTCCATTTAATTTAGCATTGAAATGGTTGCTACAAATAAACGTAAGGCTACGAGTTGGCTGGCAATAAATTGTCGGAATTCTCTCCGCGCCCTCGTAGCTCGTAGCGTAACTACGAACTGTAGCTCATGGCCCGTAGAGCGAATTTTTTTTACTTTTTTATCGCTGCTTGAAATAATGCTATTAGTACTATTCTTTTTATGATATTTTTTTTTTCAGATAATCAAATATAATAAAAAAATTAAATAAGTCTTTAGCTATCACTATTATCATTTTTTGACCATAAGCTATACGATTTTTAAGCTACAAACAGATGTCTGCGACTTTCGTCCGCGCAGAATTAAAAAAAATCTAAGCAGTAAGAGAATTTTACAAATCGGTTCAGTAGATGATTCATTTCAATTACGAAGGGACATCGCAACTGGTTTTCGTCCTTGAGAAAATGATCTATCCAATTGATTTATGTACAAACTATTGATATTCATATTTCATAGAAGTAGATATATTAAATTATACCTCACGTCTATTTTACAATCCAGATAATATAGTAGCCACAAAGTACAGTCATTACTCATATTCTATACCCATAATCATTCACGTACCACGCTACAACGTCGCCAGTTTGACTTATGACTATAGCAGGGTTATTGAGCGTGCTATATACATTTCCAATCAATATTGTAGTTTATTACCTTTGGTTAGAGTTGAAAACTGCAGTGAAAGCACACTACAGAAGCCATACATCAACGTCGCTTGAAGTGTACTGGATTCAGATGGATACAATGGATATTTGTAGATCCTTTATTGTCAACAGAACCAATCTTTGATGTTTTAACGGATGAATTGGAGCTAGTAGATATCTGTATTTATTTATCCAATATAATACTGGCAGCAAAGAATTTTATTGCGAAAGAGTTTTTATTATTTACTTTTAAGCACAAAATAAAGCTGGCAACAAAGAAATGCTCGCATCATTCGTACATTAAAAACTTCTATAATATTATTTTTCTATCTTTATCGATGTTTTTCAAGTAAAGTTTATTAGAGAAATAGTTGTCGCCCGCAACTCTGTTTGCGCGGTATTAAAAGAAAACTTAATTTAAAGTTTATATGGTCTTCCAGACTATGTTTCGGAGATAACTTGAAACAAACATCTGTACATCAATCCATCCATGTAAACATTCGCATTTATAATATTAGTAAGATTTTAAGTAAACTTTATCAGTGAATGTAAAAATAACCGTAGTAGAAAATTTGTATACAAAAATAATTCCTAAATGTATTTTTGATTGTTCCCTTGTGTCTTGAAAGTAATTTCCGTTTGTTATATTTTATTCATAAATATTTAATACTGCATACGTTCCCCTATCTGTTTGATCACGCTGTCAATGAGGATTAGGTGTCATCCTGTACAAGGGCTATGTGTTTACGTAAAATGTTATGACATAAATACGCTTAGATTTTATGACGACGCTCGTGTTTGTGCTACGAATACGTTTTAATATCGGAGTTAGGACAATCGAAACACACTGTTATAATACTTGTGCAAAACGTTTTAATAAACATACGCGTTATCTACACATATTAATAAAATTACAGTGTGTTTGAAATATTTCGTGCACAAGTATTTGCGTCGTTGATAACAAAAAACTAATAAATTTTTTGGTTGTATATCCGCTAACAGCATTAATTCCGAGTAATCTCCGAAACTGGACTGATTCTGGCCGAACTTCTATGGTAGCTAATGTGTGCATATTATAGGCTACTTTTTTAATTTCGGGCTGATAAAATCGCAGACAAAAGCTACTTTATAATATAGTTCAAATTCAACATTTACCGGGACGTATGTACATATGGAATATTATAAGTGCGGCTTATATGTTCATATATGTATATGATATATGTATATATATACTTAGAGCTTAAGCGTTTTTAATCTCATTCAGAATTTGCTTAGCCCTTGACGCAGGCCGCGGTAAGCTCGGCTAAGTGCGTAATCTAATTAACTGTTTAAAACGTTACGCCCCTCTCGTTTAAGTTACATCTGGTTGTGCCCTTTTGCTTATTTTATTCATTGAAATTATAATAAATAATTTCTGTCAGAATTTAATTTCAAATTTGAAATCTGATTTGTGTCATGTTAGTGGATGTAATATAGTTTAAGTAATTTTGTTAAACCTTCATATTATGAACATAAAATATAAATTAATTTAATTTATATTAAACCCCCACAAAAAATCCAAGTTACATTTAATTTTGGTTTAACCTTTACGGTCTAGTTAAGTCATAAAATAATTAAAGCCTTTTTCATCATCAGCTCACTTTAAGTCCTCACTGTGGGGCTCGGAGCCTACCCTAAGTTAGGGCCTTACTATAAAAAAGACAATGCTTCAAATACACTTTAGCTTTAATATACGTCAACCTTTTTGTACCGTGACTATAACGCCCGTGAAGATTTATGACAAATCATGGCTTTTGAAAACATATTTAACTATAACATCCTTCACCGACGTTCAAGGGGTTAAAACTTATGTTTTACTTAACAGTATCTAACGATGTTTTTGGGGTAATACTGTTAGTAAATGTTGTTTTGTCTTACACTGTCTTTCACTGGTTCAATAGATTACCATTCATATGGTTAGACAATCGTTCATTTAACATTACTAATGTTTCGAATCTCTCGAATTTGATTCCTATTACATATAAACCTTGTATGTTTTAAGCTTTCAACAAAAGTTATTACAAGCTTTTTTTCCTGGAATTTCACTACAAACTGTATCTGACAGCCCAGTAATCAATAGCCAGGATTTTTATAACATTAACGAGAAATTTTAATTGAAAATTCTTATAAGAGCAAAATTCTAATTAATTTTGATATTAATGCTTTTGACAGGTCCATTATGCTAATGTTCCTATAACTTTTACATTGACAAATTTCTTGATACTTTTATAATTAACTTCTTTCTTCTTTCTCGGCCATAAGTCGCCCACTGCTGGGCGTAGGCCTCCCCCAAAGATCGCCACGATGACCGGTCTTACATTACCTGCATCCAGGACGCTCCTGCAATCTTGACCAGGTTATCGGTCCATCTTGCGGGACGCCTGTCCACGCTGCGTCGACCTTTATGTTAACTTGATATGATTAACTTAATTAACTTTATTACTTTTTAGTACCAGTAATTAGGTATGAATATTACAAGCTAGGGAAAATGAGACATATATTATAATTTTTATGAAAAGGAAATTAGTTCAATGTTGCGAAATAAATGGAACTGACATAAATATGGCGACGTCTAGGGAAATCAATCAGGTAGCAATTATATTTCAAAGATGTTTTTCCAAATTAAAATATCTCGGAATTATTCTTAATAATTCAGTTCGTTGTAACTAAAATAAATCGTTAAAATTATGTCTTCACCGACATATTATTACGTAATTGATAGAATTTATATTTCATCGGTGAATCAGGGGTTAGACACTTGACTTGCAATCTACAGGTCCTGGTTTCGAATCCCGTCGTGTACCAATGTGTTTTTCGATTTATCTATTATACATGTACATTTATTAGATGTT